TTGGATCTCTCTCTCTCTCTCTCTCTCTCTCTCTCTCTCTCTCTCTCTCCCTTTTATTGAGTATGTTCTTTGACAATTTCATGCATGTATGACATTCACTGATTATTATAACCCCTCCATCTCTCTTCCACCCCATTACCCACTCCCATTCCTCCCTACATGTTCCCCTCTTACATTTATGACATTTTTTTGTGACCCACTGAGTTTATCTGGGGTGATTTATGTGACCATGGGGTTAGAATCATATGTTAGAGTCTCATGAGCTCCTCAGTGGATGTAATTTCTTCTGACCCTATCACCATCTTGTTGTGGTAATGCATAAACTGGATTAGCTTTCTGAGAAAGAATGCACCGGAGGTTTCTAAAAACCTCCCACATTAAAAAAAAAAAAAGGCTAAAAAACTTGAGTATAAGGAATTGCTTTTATTCTGTCATAGCCTTTGAGTTTCATGGATACAGAATTCTCTGGGAACTCTAGTAATATTTACCAGAAACTATTTTCCCTCATAATTGTGAAGACTAATTTCAGCTCCCATAATTGAAAAGTTTTCATTAAGATTTTATTCTCATTTTTAATCTTTCTAATATATCTTACTGCATTTTAATAAAAGTGTGTGTGTGTGTGTGTGTGTTTATGATGTGCACGTGGCCACAAATAGTGCCACAACGTGTGAGTGGAGGTCAGAGAACAACCAGAAGAAGTCAGTTCTCTCCCTCTACCATGTGAGTCCTGGGGACTGAACTCAGGCCCTTGGGTCTGGTGGCAGATGCTTTACCCACTGTGGCATCTCACCGTCCCTCTTTTATCCTATGTGACCTGTTTCAAACTCTTTGTCAGTTTTTCTTCCTTGTTTTCTGAATTGTCCTGGTAGGTTTTTTTTTTTTTTCTTTCTCCTGTTTCTCTTTGTTTCCTTTTTTCCCTTTTGGGTTCTGAAGCAGGGTCTAATATAGCTCAGGATGGCTGCATTCTTATGTAGGTAAGAATGAACTCCTGATCTCACAAGTACTGAGTTTACAGGCACATGCCAGCACACTTGGCTTGACTTTTGTCCCCCAACTTTGTTGCTCTGTGTATGTTTTGAACATACCATGATTTGTGCATGCAATCAGAAAACTCCCTTACTTTGTCTTTCCCTGTCCCTTTATAATTAACCCAGCAGAGAAAGTTTTATTTCCTAAATAAAAGCTTGGGCAGTCTCATGTCTTTTCCTGTTCCCCTTAATAAACAGTTCTGGTATTTTATCAGTAAAACTTCCAATTTCTTTAGTAGAAAGATTTTCTTTCTGATGAGGCCTTAAGACATTGGAGGCCAGCAAAGGCTTGTGGCTTTCTACCTCTCCTGACCTGCTTTTGACACCAACCATGTTCAACCCTCTTGCAAGCTGTTTCTAGAGTTGGAATGTGGGCAAGGCAGATGAGAATTGAGGGCAGGAAAGTTCTGACTCATTTAGTGCTGTTGTTCAGTTGATTATATGCTCTATAGGCTGAGACAGTGTTTAACTCTGACTCTTATGGATTAGGTATGGGATGAACAGCAAGCTCTTGACTGCCCTATACATGCCCAGGCTGGCTTGTTCTTGTCTCATTCCTTTGAGAATCGATTTCTAAGATTTTAATTCATAGTATTTTAAATATTTTATTTATTATTTTTATTTTTATGTGTATTAGTGTATTCCCTGCAGGTACATAAGTGCACCCATGTCATGCAATGCCAGCGGAGCTCAGAGTGGGTGTTAGATCTCTAGAACTGGAGTTATGGACCATTGTTAGCTGCCATGTGGGTGCTGGAGATAGAATCCAGTCCCCTAATTCACGGCATTTTTATATTTTTTCCTGCTGATCCCTAAGAAATGATGAAATCAACTCCACACCTTCTCTTTCATTGTTATTTCCACATAAGGACCATGGGAAACTGGTACCTTTCTCTTACATCCTGGGGAGATGTGAACAAGTGTACATTCATTCTGGGATACTAACAATAGACCAGAGAAATGATTCCACGCAAGTCTACCTTAGCGAGCCGATTCATTTTGGGGGGTTACTCACAGGAACGTGGCTGACTCAAAGGCAGCTGCATCACTGAAAGTCCCGCCCCATAATGGGTGATCTTAGGGATGCATCCCTCGGGCTCCCTGTACAGCTTGCAGGGGGCTCTGCTGGCTACAGTTTCCATCTCCTGGCAATGTCTTTCTTTCATAACCCTGTGGGGAGAGAGTTTGTGAATTTGTAACTTTCAGCATTTTCACAATGAGCCTTTGTAAGTTTTTTTTTTCCCAGTGAGTCCTAAAGTCCTCCTCCTCCTTCTCTCCAGAAAGAACACTTTAGTTCAGAGGAAAAGCTTCACAATGCAGGCAGCAGTAGTACCGCTAATTTCATCTGCTTTTCTCTCTTTGAAGGCCATAGGTCCTGCAGCTTCCCTCCCACCTGTGGACTTCTTGTTCCCAGAGGGTCAGACACCATCACCTGTATCCCACAAATGGCAGGGCACACATACCAGCTCTCTGAGTTGGTCCTATTGAAATACCTCTCTTCACCTAAGGTTGTCCAGAACCATAATCTCTTGGTGGAATACTGAGAGCATAAAGGTTTGCAAAGAAGCCCCTCTCTGAATTTTCCTTCCTCTTTACCTGTTTTGTCACCCCAGCGTGCATGAGGAGTTCAGAACTGTGTATGTAGATCATCCTTGGATATGT